TTGAAGTTAGAGAAAAAACAAGCAGAAATCTAGGAAGAGGGCAAGTTTAGAGAAAACTGATTCATTCATGCAGGTGTGGAAATGGAGCCTAAACCCCATTAGAAGACAGAGAAAATCACTTAAATTTAATCTGTGAAGCAATAGAGTGCAATGCACATTCCTTGGAGCCAAGACTCACTGGATTCAACACCCCCTCTCACCTTTACTAGCTGTGTAAATCTTAAACAAGATATTTGTCCTCTGAAATCATGAAAGTTCACATATGTAAAATAAAAATAGTAGTATCTACCTTATAAGACTGTTGTGAGTTTAGAATAAATTAACGTACAAAAAACACTTAGGAAATTGTCTGAATAATGATACACATATTTACACTTGGGAAAATATAAATTGGTCAATGCAAATGTAATACCAGAGAAACTGATAGAACAATCATCAAATTACTTTCCATCACCCAGAGGAGCCCTAGATATTGTATAACAATTTAAGTTAGATTTCTTGGCAATAATGTCAATGTCAACCCGATTTAATTTTCTTTCTTTGGAGAATGTTAGGCCATGTACTAGCTGAGTTTTCTGTCTGTTTCCATGACATTTCTAACAGTATTTTATAGAAAGTTATTAACTATTCCTTGAAACAAGTAAGTTTTGGAAACACTGGGTAAATTTGGTTACTGCAGGACTTCTCAAATTTTTAAAAAATTATGTAACACGAATGTCTAAGAGTGTCTGTATGCTATGCAGCATTTTCCAAAGTTATTTGGCCATGGGTTGTAGAACACAGTTTGAGAAGCAGAGGTGTAGATGTAATGTTATCTTTTCTGGAGTTATGGTTCCTACCGAGTAATTATTAAGTTGTAGAAAAATATTATGTGTTATTCCATAGGGATCAGAGTTTAAAGAGTGTTACTTAATACTTTTATTCATGAGCTGAACAATGAGGAATCAAGTGAATCACAATTAAGCACAAAGTTGGACACAGTTGCTAGTACTTGGAAGACAGAAATGAAATTCAAAGGACATTCAACATAGAATTCTGTCAAAAATAGAATGAAGATCAATATGGAGAATAAGAAAGATATCTCTTCTACAAAATATAAGCTTTGTAGACAAATAAGAAAAAGATTTTGATACTCATGTATATGACTTTAAAAGACCAAGAAAACACACTGGGTGTTGAATAAAAGTATGACGAATAAAGCTATGATCACAACAAAAGTTATTGCTTTAGTGAAAAGCATGGGGAAATATGGTATGTCTCACAGACTGTGGTGGCCATATTTTAGAGTGTCAGCTTTCTGTACATGTCTCCCTTGCTTCTACATGCTTCATATGAAAGTGGTCTTGAGTTGCTCTAGAATGTGGGACCTCCAGAGCCTAATGACTTCCAAGAAGTTTCCATTTAGGGTATCCGTTAGCAGTGGGCTGAGTGTCTTCGGAGAGGGATCTTGTCATTCCATGAAGACTTCCTTGTTCTCTTGGTAAAACTTGTGGGGATGTACAGAAACTGATCATCATATTCAAAAAGTATACTGGCTGCTTGAGATTCTGTTAAATCTAGAGATTATCCAGTATGAGAAGAATTTCCAGTTCCCTGAGGGGTTGATGTTGAAGGAACACAGGTTGTGGGTCCTCCTTTCTCACTTTTTTGCTTTTGTGTCAGGGTGTGATATACCCTAAGTGTCTCTCTTTGAAAACTGACTTCTAATGTACCAAAACTGACTTGTAATGTAAGGGTGTGTGTGTGTACATGTATGCATGTGTGTAAGAAAAAGCCAATATAAAATGAGAATCATAAAAGTGCTGGAAGTCCCATGCTCAGCTTGAAGCACTATGCTAATGAATTACAAGACTTCCAGGTAAGAGACATGAATACTTTGTCACATAAAAAATGGAGTTGATGATGTTTAACCTGGAGAAAAAGATAAAATCAGGGTCAGTTTGGCTCTTTTATTACTTAAGAGAAAACGGTTGGAAATCAGGAGACACTCAACATTAATGCTAAGAAATAACTTTTATACCTGTGAAAACTGTCTAGTAATGGACAAGACTTCTTATTTTAAAAATCTCCAAAAGTAACTTATTTTTGAACATTTATTTTGTGGCAGGTGTTATGCTACACACATTACATATATCAGTTTAGTCAACCCTCTCGAATTCCTCATGAGGTAGGAACTGTTATTATTCTCACATTACAAATGGGAAACAGTGTTGGTGAGGTTAGCTTACTTTTTCAAGGTCACACAGCAAGTGAATGGAGAAACTAGGATTCGATCCTGCAACCTGTGCATCAAACTACTAAATTGCTTACTTCTATCCTTAGATATTTTATTTTATTTTATTTATTTTTTTGAGTTGAAGTCCCACTCTGTCACCCAGACTGGAGTGCAGTGGCCGCTCCCGGCCACCGCAGCCTCGACCCGCTGGGCTCCAGCGATCCTTCCGCCTCCGCCTTCCGAGTAGCTGGAATTACAGGCACGCGCTACCACGACCGGCTAATTTTTTGATTTGTTGTAGAGATGAGGTCTCGCTGCCCAGACGGGTCTCGAACCCGTGGGCTCAGGCAATCCACTCACCTCAGCCTCCCATAGGCGCGGGATTACAGGCTGAGCCACTGAGCCCGGTGTATCCTTAGATATTTTAAAGCACAGTCTGATGTGTCAGAGATTTAGTTGAAAGGGTTCGTTCTCTTGCAAGACTTTTCCATTGTGAGGTTGGACCATTGCCAATAATTTCAAAAATCTTTCATCTCATTTCTGCCATATTGAGGATTGAAACATTGAGTCAAACCCCCTTGGCCATTGAACCCATCTGTCACCTGCTTACTTTTACAGAGATGAGGAAAAGTCCAAAAAGTCTAGAGAAAGGCTATAAAACCTAAGGGATGATTGGACAATCATGCCTACAAGGAAACTTGAAAGAGGTTTCATTCCTTTGGCCAGGTAGTGACTTGGTGATCTTTGATATGCAATGGGTTAGAACTATCTAAGTCCTTTCCATGGAGAACATAACAAGAAATCCATTTCAGTGGGAAAGCTTGGCTGAAACAAGAAGGTTTTCCCAGTGAAAATGTCTTGAAAGCCGGGCTCGGTGGCTCAGCCAGTAATTCCGCGCCTTTGGGAGGCTGAGGTGAGTAGATTGCCTGAGCCCGCCTGGGTAGCGAGACCTCATCTCTACAATAAACCAAAAAATCAGCCGGGCGTGGTAGCACATGCCTGTAATTCCAGCTACTCGGAAAGCTGAGGTGGAAGGATCGCCGGAGCCCAGCAGGTCGAGGTTGCGGTGTCTGGGAGCGGCCACTGCACTCCAGTCTGGGCGACAGAGTGAGACTCCAACTCAAAAAAAAAAAAAAAAGTCTTGAAATAAACAAAGACTTTGAAGCACAGTTATGGGTAGAAGAACAGGGTCATGTTAAAAATAGCAGCTAATGCCATCAACAACAGCCTAGCCTGCTGCCTCTCCAGTGGCCTCAGTAAGGTGGTCTGCCTGGAGGATGAGCCAAACTGCCAGAAAGTGTTTGTAAACTTCACTCTCTTCAAACCCATCCCACTAAAGAAACAGCAGACGTTGAAAAAGAAGTCTGAGCCATTTTCATTTTTAAAAAGCTTTAAATTAAGTGTGACAACTACAGTCATAGGGATTCTCAGGCAGCCAGCCACAAAGTATTGCAACAAATAACCTTGTAAGATCTTGCAATTCATGAGTCTATGGCCCTCCACAACTGAGGAAGGCCTCAGAGTTTCCATTAGGAAGATCACCTCGAAAAATCAACATTTCTGCTCAACAGAGGTTTAATGCATTAATTTTAGAAGCAAGAAGTCAGTTTTTTCTTTACCACAGAAATAAATTGAATACCCTTACAAAGAGGGTTTTTTCCTTTAACCTGTTGAAGAATGTTTTTTTGCTTCATGGAAATTTATCATAATTTCATGCCCCCACACTTCATGGCTTGTTACTTGGTCCATTACGTTTACATTTCACTTGATAAGGTCCTGGTTCCTGTGATATGTTTTTAGGTTTGGTTTCTCACAGCTGCTGCTTTGAAGTGCCTGATAACATTCTTAGCCTTCCATGGAGCCAATGGCTTTTCAAATCCTCATTCTCCTGTGCTCACAGCCCTGCTGCTTCTGTTAGTTCTCACTGAATGAGCATATTTTACCTCCCCTCTTCTCAACTTTTTAAAGAGGGCAAACCTTAGGCTTTTACAGGTGACTAATTAGCCCATCCATGGAATTGGGCAAATTATTCAGGAAATTATCACATTTCTCTTCGTGCATGTCAGAGCCCACTTTTCTATAGAGAACCAGGGCTTTCAGTGGGGGCGCACATATGAGTGTTAGTGGAGCAGCTCATGTGGTTCCTGTTAACACAGATGATACCTGCATTCTTTCACATGCACACAGACATCTCTTAATGTGGTCCCCAAGGTCCATAGTCATAATATTTATCTAAAGGTGGCCCCTGCCCACAGGACTCACAGCAGACACGTCTCAACTGCTGGAGTTTGGAAAAAGCCAGTTATTTCACTGCGCAAAGTTAAGGCCTAGTTAAAACTGCGGAGGAAAAACATCTTCTGGACGAAGCATCTCAGGTTACCCAATATGGGAAATGGGGCTGTAAACATTCAAAGAATTTCTGGAAGCTGTTGATGGCTAAAATTCAGTTAGAACTGAGAGTTTTCAAGACCTTTATTATTTGAATAGGAAATTAATTTGGGAGGAGGGAAAAAAATCACTTCCTGTCTCATCACCTAAGAAAAAATTGCTTCTGTGATGGCAAGTATCATTTCCCAACACATTTAATTTGGATGTTAGAAGACTGAATTTAACAGATGATCGGAGTGCTAAAACATGCGTATAAGAGGCAACACAGGGGCTAAAACTGTAGCTGCATCTTGAAGAAGAATGAGACAACAGGTAAAATCACAATCACGAGTGAAATGGAGAGGAACTATCAGCCCATCGTGCACAGAATATGGTGTGACCGAGCAAAGTTACTCACAGGTATTTGCAGTGCCTTTGGGAATGGGAAGATATGAGCCTGGACTCCAAGGTCGGCCCTGATAATTCTTCTTGCATTTCCCACAGTCTGGACCTGTCGTGTTGTGCTCACATTCACATGTCAATTTGCTGTTGTCATACAAACACACAGTGGCGTGGAGGTTACACTTGCACCTGAGCAGAGGAGAGACAAGGAGTTCATTGTCAGTTAGGTTGGTCTGAGTGACCGCCGCCGCTTTCCTGGTCTGTCTCCAAGGGTTGTAGCTCTTAAATCGTCCAGTGCTTTAGTGATACACACAGGCGTTTGGTAAGATGTAGCTTTGCAGGCACTCAGAGTCTTTTCAGCAAGTGCCTTTTGGTGGGAGGAGGATTGTTATGAGGCAGTGTGTCCTCACACTGCACTTGAGAAAGCCGAAAACCAGTCATTTCAGCAGGGGCTTGATGCTCCCGCAAGACAACTGTGCGCCAAAGTCCAGGATTTCCCAACAAACATCCCAAATAGTGCCCCTCAGTGGGAAGTCTTTTTGTGATGTTATTGCATCTGTGACAATTTCATCTGGGTTTAAAGAACAATGTCATCTTCCTTTTTTCTGTAAATCATCAAAACAATTCTTATTGTTTAAAAAGAAAGATAACCATTAAAACAATTTGCTATTCAGCCTTATTCTTACAAACCCTAGAGGTTATAATCGAGTGTCCTCACTCTGGGCTCTCAAATGACATTTCCTCAGATCAGAAGAGATTTTTCTACCAAGGCCTCTAAATGACCTGAGGAAAGGTGAGACGTTAATCCTCAGACATCCCACTCACGGCAAATCAGGTAATCACAAAGGGCTCTCAGAAACAGGCTAAATGGCTCTAATAAAAGATGTCTAGAATCCTCGAAAACAAAACTAAAAAAGTACTTTTGTGTGGAAGAGTTTTGAAGTCATTAGCGAAGTCCTGGCCTTTGCTGCCTGTGAATAAAGCCATGATATATGAGAGGTAACAATGGAATATGCAGTTTCCACAAAAATACAGCCCCGTATCCAAAGTCTTTGACTATAAAATTGCAAAAGCCAACTTGCTGTTTGTTGAGGCAGCAGGTTATAAATTGTATTCTACCAAGCACGTGCCACATCCTCTGGAAAGGTAAAACTTAAGCTGACAGAACAATCATGACCAGAGGTCAGAATAATGTATGTGGGAAGAGATGTGTCCACATGGAGTAGAGAACGTAAACACCTACACTGGGGGATGCAGTACCAAGATAAGTCAGAGTCAGAAACAGAAAGTGTAAGTGTGTGTGTGTGTGTGTGTGTGTGTGTGTGTGTGTGTGTGTGTGTGTGTATGTTTTACAGTAAACCTGGCCTCTTCCAGAAACTAGAACAAGAAAATGGAAACTCCAGTTTCATGAAGACAAAGAAATATTGTGGTACTTTTTTTATTATTATTTTTTTGGGGGGGCAGTTATTATTGACTGGGAATAATAACAGAATACTCTTTCTTAGTGCGATTCTTTAACAGTAGCTGATGTTGTCTTCTGTAATGTCTGTTTGGGATAGCCAAGCTTCTCTTTTGCACATAGATGGTCTATTTGGAACAATGACCCATACTGGAAGGAAAGTGCTGAGACTATGACTGAGAGCTGCTGGACTTTCTTCTAACTAAAGGTGTAGTTTATAAAGAAAGGACCATCTGCTCAAATCTGTATGGGAAGGCCAAGTCTCAGATTTTTTAGGCATCTGCTACAATATATGATAAATACTTCTAGCCACAATGTGCCCTCTGTGTATGCGCAAATTTTAATAAGTTGGAAGGCTACTATTCAAACAATACTTCAACTTAGACACATAAATGTCAACTTTGAAAATTAACATTTGTGCATTCCTTTTAAAAGGTAAGAGAAGAAATAATTCCGTGAAATAGATGATGTTTAATTATGAGCTAGGCCCTACAAGAATCTCCTACATGCAGGGAATTACTTGTGCTAGGTTGCTTATGAAAGGATCTTTCTTCCTTCAACATTAGCACCTTTATTTATGGGGGTGTTTATGGATATATGGAGGATGTTTGAAGAATAAGTGAGAGAAGCACCAGCTTATACTGATTTAGCACCATATCTGGTGTTAAAAATTCCAAATGAGGAAATGAACAACGTGACCCCAAAGAATATGCTGGTTTCATGCATGAACACCAAGAATGCAAGTAGTCATTATAAATTGGATTATATATCTTGTGACTGTTAATGCCTTCATCTTGTAGTCACTCTCTGAGTTACAGGCAATTTCCATTCAAAAGACATTGTATTAGCTGAGAAAATATTTTTGAATAACAAAAGAAGGTAAAAGAAGAAGAAATGAATGTTTTGTCTTACTTTCTGAGATTTCTTTCCATGAATGGCTCATTCTCATCTGTCCAAAAGCTTATTAATCTTTTGGGGCTCGACTCAATTCATAACCCTCTGAAATCTATCCTGACCACTCTATATATCCTGAGCTCTACTCTTCTAATTTCCTTAAATGTTTCTGTGTGTTTGCTTTGGTTAACTGTTACATAAGGCTCTTTGTGTTTTTATTATTATTATTTTTACTTATTGTATAAATCTCTTCTCTTTTAAGGGGGGAAATATGTACCTTGCACCCAGTCTTCTTCTCCAGCTAACCCCTCAGCACTTCTGCTTTCCTTCTTGAGTTCTGCACACTTGCCATCTCTGTTTTCCTGTCTACCACTCAGCCTTTCCCAGTGACCATGGGGTTTCTTGCCAAGATCACTCATGACCTCCTCGTTGAAAAACCAATAGACCCTTTTCCTGGGCTTATATGATCCCCTGGGACATTGACTCTGGACCACTCCCTTTCCCTTGACATTCTCCCCACCTCATCTCCAGGACATTCCTCCTCTGCCTGTTTTGTGCATGTGTTTTTCTGGGTTCAGCCCAGCATGGCCAGCACTCTGAGATTACCTTTAGGTGATCTTACCAACTATGTCTTCTGTCCACGACTTTCTAATCTCCCACCCCCATCTCTTTTACCTGGATAATTCTTCCCTTCAGTTGTTAACTTGGATATCTCAATGCCTGGCTCCTCATTGGTACTCCAAAAAAATATCAGCTGATCAACTAGGGTGCTTCTCTGACCCACCAGGATGCCTTTTCTATGTACTCCTTTGAGTACCTAGGGCAAGGCTGGTTGCATAATGAGGTCTATTGTTTCATTGCTATAGGTGTGGGCTATATTTTAATCCCTTATTTTTCCATCACCCTCACCAGAGGATATGCACTTGGGAGGCAGTGGTGATGTCTGCCTTATTCAATATAATGTGTCAACATGCTTGGAACATAGTAAGTGCTCAAAAATTATTTGATGATCAAAACAAATGAATACTAAACAATTACACTTCCTGAAAGCAAGACCTTTATGTGAAGGCTCTTCTGTGTCTAGCATGGCGATGGACTGATACTAGAGAACTCAAAGGCTTGCAACAAATCAAACAATGCCGTGAGTTGGAACCTGCCACATGCTCTTATGCTGGTTTTCATAACTAACCTGAGATTGGAAAAAGAGAGCTCTATAAAATTGGTGAGACATTGTAAATTCAATTACATTTAATTTAAACCCCAGAGGATGCACCAGATGACTGAAACCTAAAACAAGAGCATCCTAAAACAATGCTTGAAAGACCCAGGAAAAGAACACAGCTGTGGGGAGAGGAGAGACAAAGCATTTGGTAGCATCATTATTCCAGAATATTCATCTTTTAGCTTTAACACCTCATGCAAAGATGACTCCTCCTCCCCAGTGAAATCTGGGGGAACATCGCTTCAGCAATGGCTAAAACTGTAACATGCTCAGCAGTGAATCTATGACCAGGCTCAGCTTTCAGGCTGTCTTTCCTTAGGCATTGTGACAATTGCTGAGTGTTGAAAGTGAACACTGAGGTATCAGGACATTGCCTGTGTTTGGAAATGTTTCTCTTTCATTTTCTGCAGCTCAGTTTATCCTCATCCCTCACATTCCAATCAGAAACTAAAATCTGTTACTTAGAGACCTTGCCGGAGTGGTTTTTCCACTGTAACAGGAAAAAAAAAAGATGGATTTCACAATGCTGGAAGATTGCTGTCAATTCCTGGTGGTGTGACCTCTGGCCTCATGATGGGTGGAGGGCAGATTTCTGTGACATCTCACTTGTCTCTGACAGATTCATTATCCATTTCCAAGGCCATCCAGCTCCCACATCTACTGTCACTTTGGGTGGAGGAGAAACAGTACAAGTGAGACCTAAAAGGCTCCTCTGGCAGTCACATATCTGATGTTCTGCAGAGCTAAGCCTTTTCACTGATTTCTGTTTACACACACAGAACTTGCACCAAGACACAGCAGCTAGAACTAATGGACTTGTGTGTACCTTGAAGATCCACTTGTGTGCAAGTAACAACAGCAGACACTGTCAAACAAGCGGGTCACAAAGAAAGACTTTTTTTTAAAAAAAGTGAGCTTTGGTCTGTGATGCAAACTTTATGAACACCCATGTGTTCTTGCTTTCAACCAGATCTGCACTTCCTGTATTTTAGTGACCAGCTGTCACGAGTCAATTTAATCTTGCTTATAAAAAGGCTCCAACATTTAGTTCTGTGCCACCTGCCAGTAGGTATGAAAAACTTATACCGTCTGCCTTGGGTTGTTTTTTCTTTTTTATAACTTAATATGTCTATTCTGGGAAGCATGTTATCCACCAGAATTTCCTGCAAGTTAGAGGTCCACACATAGTCTATTACTAATATTTCAAATAGAGGTACTGAGACAAAGAAAGTAACAACTGGCTCTTTGTAAAGGCAAATAGGAGGGGAAACCATGCTTGCTGTCTTTCAGGCCAAGGGTTTTGGCTACTTTAGGGCCACAGAAGGATTCACCAAGAAGTGAATGAAGCTTCAGGGCCCTTCCAGGGCCTTTGAGGAGGTCACTACAAATACGTTTGCATGGTCATATGCTTGGGTATAGTTTGCACAAACAGGTATTATTTATTTATTTGTATTAATTTTTTAATGAGGTCCCCTCAGCCTCCCGGGCTCCTACCCCAAAGGACATAAATTTTAGGCATTGCAAAACCTGGATCCTGGTTTCATCTCTTGCCTTGAACAGGCACTAGCTATTCAAATGCTTTTAGAAAATGTGTTAGTACAAATATTGGAGCTT